AAAAAAAGTTGCCTGTAGCACATGTAATATCATAATGAAATATAAAATAGAACTTGTGAATGGAAGCTGATTGGCAGTGTTTCTAACAAAATAATTTTTTTTTGGTGGTATCAGGAATCAAACGCACAACCTCATGCTTGTGAGGCAGGCGCTGTGCCACTGAGCTATATCCCCAGCCCTCAAAATAATTTTTAACAGAGGAATTTCTCATAAAGGAATTAAGTAGGTTCCACTGTGGACTAGGAAATATTAAAGACTCTCTTGTTAACACGGGCTACTCAGAGGTAGTCCCCAACTTGGGAAAGGTCATTTTCCCTAATTTAGAAAAGCAGCTGAATTCTGGTTCCAGAGTACCAACTTTCCACTTAAGCGCACGATTTTCAAAATCTGACTTTAGCAGTAAACATATGCATATAAAATAAATAATACTCTTATTAAGAGAATACTAGTCAGATTATTTATATCTGCCCCCCAAAATACAGGTTAACGATAACACAAGGAATTAGGAACCAAAATATTTGAGCTCTTAATGGATTCTAACGCTGAGTTCGAACCTCTTAAAAATTCTATTTCCCAGATAGGAAATGTACAGTGAGCGTGCCTGTACTCAGTACTGAACACTGGCAGCAGCACTGCACTCAGCAGCCTCAGACCCTCGGATTTTACATTAGCAACCTCATGCTCCAACCTACCCAGTTCACTGCTATTTGGTCAGATGAATTCTGGGGACCGTTCATTTGCTTTCTCCAATGCTTCTTTTTGGGACCAAACAGGCAGGCTCCCACAGGATGCGGCTGTACGAGAGAGAAGACCACAAGGGCCTCATGATGGAGCTGAGTGAGGACTGCTCCTGCATCCAGGACCGCTTCCACCTCAGTGAGGTCCGCTCCCTGCACGTGCTGGAGGGCCACTGGGTCCTCTACGAGCTGCCCAACTACCGCGGACGACAGTACCTGCTGCGGCCCCAGGAGTACAGGCGGTACCACGACTGGGGGGCCATGGATGCTAAGGCAGGCTCTTTACGGAGGGTGGTGGATTTATACTAAAATAGGTTAACACTACCATTTTCTCATTTTGGAACCTAATAAAGTATTTAGTCTGTATTGTTGGCAATTGCGGACTTCTGCTTTTATTTCATTGTGTGCAAATCGATCAACTTGTAAATGCTCCCCTTCAAAAGTTAAGAAAAAAAAAGTTAAGAGATGAATGGAAAAAGGGAGTGGTTTGTTCCAGAACTGCAAGGTAGAATTGAGTTTAAACAAGTCCGAATGGGGTGAGTGGTGTACCTGCCTGAGAAAGAAAGTGAGGCTATTGACCTGGAAAGTGATGGTTTCCGGCAAGGAAGTCATTCAGCCGCCAGCCTTGGTGAATAATATTCTAGAACTTTATTTCTGACCCAAGAAATTGTTGAAGGTCACAAAATTACAGTCATATGATAGTGAGGCCAAGCTCAACTTCCCAAACAGACTAACCTCACCCTGAGCCAGTACTGGCCCTGCCCAAATATGCAGAAATTGCGTAGCTAATGCAAACACATAAAAAAGAGGTACCATCAATATTTTAATAGACTTGCATGATATAACATACCACAAATTAAAAAGCCCTTTCACTCAAAAAAAGGCTTAAACGTAAAGAAAGACACATTGAAGAAAGCTATCATTTCTAAAGCCTTTTTAGTTGAACTAAAAATCTACTTGTTTACAAGCAAATCCCTGCAAATTAAAATAAAATTAATAAGCTATTAAGATTCTCTTAAATAAGCACAGGTTAATTTATTTTTTATGTCCCTCCAAAGTAAAAGCTGCCCATAATGTTACTACTTTACAAATTCTATAAAGAAAAAAGTAGAGGGATCCTCCTTATTCTCTTCACTTCTAACCCCACTCTGCCTACCTGGCACCCTTCTGGAATTCTCCCCATGTTTATATAGCTATCTCCTGAAATGCATGCTTCTTTGCTTTACAAAAATGCAGTCATGCTGTTTATACTATTCCGCAGCTTGCTTTTAAAATATATTATGATGCAGACATAGATCAAGATCAGAACCTCCTTCTGTTCCACAGCTGAATGGCATTCCATAGTTTGTTTCCCTCCATTATTACACTGTTCTCCATGAGTACTGGGTCTTAATAAAGTTGCTTTTGCTCACAGCACTGCGAACAATCTCACCAGACTTGCATAGCACTATGAGCTATAATTTCAAAAGAGTACAGACCTAGGAGTGAAACTACCTTCTCATAGAGCAAGTTTATTTTTTTTTTTTTAACAGACTGCCCAATTATTGTGTACTAGGGATCCTAACTTCTCTGAGATAGGATTTTCACTATTTATTGGGCACCCACCCTAGGCTCACTGTATGGAGCATTAGGGTGAAAAAACAGCCAAAACAAACTAGAGCTCTGCATAGAAATCACACAAAGTAGTAATAAAATAGTAAGAGCTAATCATTTTCTAAGTCAAGTACTTACCAAGTACTAAATAATACAAATTAATTACTTATGTATTGAGTACTTTCACTAAAGGCTTTTAAATCATCCTATGACAAACATTCAGGGAAAATAAATGAAATAATATTCAGCTATATATTTCCCCTCTTATGTTGTTACTTACCATTTTGGAAACAAAAGAGTTTTCCTGGCATGACACACTCATTTAACACTTCCTGATACACTTTACTTTTCTATGATACCTTCCCTCCTGCTTTGGAGCAACAACGCCAGTGAAAACTGTTTCTGGTTAATAGCAAACAATCTGTCCCTGCATAATGGATTCCGATGGCTGGTACCAGGCTGCATGGCAGTGGCCCCTTCCTGCCTTTGGCCCTTTGTCTGGGGAACGGGAGGCCAGGCCAGAGTTAGTCTCAGGCTCTCTCTCACTGCCCCCGCCAGCTGACTCTTTCCTTCCTTCCTTTGTCCCCTCTGCCACCCACATCCATGGCCTACCTTCCTGATCCTTTATTCCCTTCTCCAGCCTATTGGTCACAGGGCCCGTGTAAAATGAATCCTCCTATACCCCCTTTCTTTGGGGAAAATTTTAACAATGACTCCAGACAGTTTGTTTTTTCGTGTTAAAGGCATTTGAGACACACATACACATATTCTAAGAAATAAAAATTCTGAGAAGTCATCCAAACACTTTATAAATGCCTCATTTTCTCTTTCTCTCACACAAAATTACGACGAGCTGGGCACTCAACATGACCATTTTCACGTGTAGAATTTTGAAAGAAAAATGCTGAGGACCTAGTTCCCATCGTTCTTCTAGTCAGTTTTGTGCCTTTCCTGGTGAATTGCACATCCTTAGTGAAGAGTTGTGAGAACAGTAAAGATCAGTGATCGCTAACAATAGTGGTGGCTGACAGAGATGCAAGTACCTGTCACGTACCCTTCAAGAGAAATGTCATGTAGCAGCTTCACAATACAAGCTGTGTTCATAGGGATCATGAAGTTGAAGGCAGAAAGTACCTCAATCATACAAGCAACTTCTATCCTGGACATTTAATTCTTTTTCCAATACTTATGAAAAAACCTGATGTCTTGTTAAATTTAAATACATACCTCGGTTCTTCCTGCTAGTCAGAGGCAAGGAGAGGACCTAATTCAAAGTTGTCCAACATTATTCACTCAGTGGCAGTCCTAACATGAGGAGTTCTAGTGAAAAATAACCCTAGAATAGGACCCCCGCATCCCAAATTTTTTACATTCTTTAAATCAAGTGGTTTTCAACATTTTAGATTTTTTCAGATCAATTTTCTTCAGATGGGAACCAACATAGTATTGCCAATTTTTATTTTGACAAGCAAAGGCTTTTAAAATATAAAAAACAATCAAAATTAAGTGCCATCAAAAAAAATTAAATGCCACCTATTTGTGTATCACTTCGTGAAAGAAGACATTTTAAACCCTCCCTCTCTGATACAAAAGTTTCTAATAAAATATGCTTGAGGCCAAGAAAGTATACTTGGAAACTTTAACTAGATGTATAGTTTTTTCAGTTTTGGTTAAAAACTGGTTGAAACTAGCATAATTAGAAAACTCTTATTTGGTTGTTTTGTTTTGTTTTGTTTTGTTTTAGACAAGGTTTCACTATGCAGTTCAGGTTGACCTTGAACTCACTTTGTAGCCCAGGCTGGCCTCGAACTCCCAGCGAACCTTCTGCCTCAGCCTCCCAAGTGCTGACAATTCTTGGAACTGTGAGTTATTCCTTCAGGTGCCGGCAGATGATGTAAATAAATGGGAAAAAAGCCTCCTTTTCAGACAACAGAGAATGATGGGGCTTATGTCAAACTCTTGAAAAGTGTGAATCAATCCACAGTACTACAAAAATCATATAAACACTGTGCCAGCTAAACAAAATGCATCTCCAGCTCCACGGTCCTCACAGTGGCCAGTTTTCATTTCCAAGGTGACGTGAACACCGTGGAGAACAGTCACCTGTGGCCACGCATTGCTTCCCTATGAATCCCTTCCCTCTCTTGGGCGTGCCTGGAGGCTACTTCCTGCACCGCACTGAAGTCAGGACTCCAGTGCCTGTTCTTTATTTCCTGTCACCCTCTCAACGACAAACCCCATCAGTCTTTCCTGAGAACTTGAAAAGAATCATGCCATAGTCATGAGGATGTTCAGGACTTATTTAACTACTATTGCCTAGTGCACTGTGCAGTTTGAGACTTAAGTCTTATACACCCCATCCCTGCCAGCCCACCCCACCTCTGCTTCAGAGTAACAACTCCAACGAAAACTGTTTCTGCTGAGTAGAAAACAATCTGTCCCCGCATAATGGATTCCGATGGCAGGTACAGGGCTGCCTTTGGCGCTTTGGTTGGAGAACGGGAGAGCATTCAACTTAGGCCACATTTTGGGCCCAGCCATTAGCTTTTCAGCTCTATGAGAAGTCTGAGGTATTTTCCTTGTTTCTTTAGCTCTAGGCAGAAATAAAGCCTTCTCTCTTCTTGGTTGATGAGAAGAACCAAGCCCAAATCCTCTTGTTTGGGTGATGTGGATGAACCCTAAAGTTTTGTGGCAGCTGCAGGTCAACAAAGACAGCGGTCCCCGCAGACATCCCCTTTACACTCAAGGTTTCTGATAATTCTTTTCTTTCTTAGCCACATGGAACACTCTCAGTGGGACTCTGAATTCCAGTTCTTTCTCATATTTTACTATTTTTACTTATCCATCCTCTTCCCACAACACCCTGGTCTTAGGATCATCTCTGAGAAAAATGGTGTTGTTTTACATTTTATTTTTAGTATTTAAAAATTTTAATTATCATGATTTGTATTGCTATATTCTGTGGTTTATTTCCCACTATCTAACCATAAGTAACTTTGTAATATATGCTTCTACTTACCGTATTGGATAATCAGACGCTACAAAACAAGGACTGAGATCATACTGGGCATAGTTGGGGTTTAACACATAAATACCAACTTACAAAGATTTATGAGTCAAAGACAAGACAGTCTTTCCATGGGTTAGCACAGGACTGTGAATAATGCTTTTGAACATGAAAGAGGCCAGATACACAGGTCATCTTCCACACCATTGCTCCTTCCAGTCCATCAAACTGTTTTCCAGCCCAATAAATAGTTTCTAAAGTCTTCCTAGAGTCCTAGCTTCTAGACATCTATCCCTTCCTCTGCCATCCCATTCCGGCTGTGGTTCTTCTTTGTATTTGTACAATTAATTTCCTCCAAGTCAAAGGCTTTGTCTACTCTTGTTCACTAGAGAACAAAGGTGTATTCTAGACTCTCCCAGAATGTGTTTCTTAGGAATTTGATTTTATCTTATAATAAACTAAGAGGTAATCTGTTTTGATGTTTGAAATCTACAACCTTTTTAATGCTGTTAAATTTAGACCTTTCTTTTTACTCTTAAGCATCTTAAAACTATTCTCCCCTTTGAATCACAGGACCAAAATTGGCCAGGAGAAAAGGTCTACTGCACTTCTTATTCGACTTTCACATAGGACTGCAACAAAACCAGAACGAAACTTGAAGAGTCCCACTGGCTGTGTTTTTAGTTTGTGTTTTTGTTTTGTCTTTAAT